CTTAATGAAATACCCTTATATATAATCCGTCTTAATGAAATACCCTTTATAAAGATGATATTATTGGAAATGTTGTTACTTAATCTATCCTTGGAAATTCAAAATAAACGAAATGACAAAACCAATGCTATATCATGTTTTCCCACACACACACCCCTAAAAGGGAAACCACTGTTATTTTTACATTTTATCACGTGAATACTGATGTATTGTCTTCCTTTTCTCCTATATCTAAACAGTTACAAACAGCCTGGTATACTAATGGATATTTACTTATACTTCATCTACACTAACACAATGCCGCTGATAACAGTACGATAATAGTACATTCCATTGTTGTGAAGGCAATCATAACTCGATGTTTATATTTTCTCAGCTGAGCTTGCATGGATGCAAGTTGATTTCAATGATAAGGAATTATTCTTTGAATAGACAATTTATTATGAAGTTATGCTAGTAATATATAAAAGGTAGAAATGGTTTTACTTTTATTTTATTCTCAGTTTATTTGCTAATGTGATTTTTTTATACGTACTGGTTATCGCACCAAGAGTTTTAATATAAGACGACCTTCAATTTTTAATGGTGACTTTTGGAATTTAATGGTCGTCTTATACGCGGGTAGAGGAGGTACGGTGGAGTAATGGATAGCGACTGGGATTGAGGAATTGGAGAGCCGAGTTCGAATTCCAGTTGAATCTATTACATTCACTTATGTGCTAATACCCTTGGGAAATTATCTTCTTCTCCTCCCATCTATGGGTAAATAGCAGGATAGTTTAGTTTCTATATCCTTGGATGGCAACTGGTCTACCTACTGCGGGAAAAAAATCTGTATCGAAAGATACATGATCGTCTAAGCGTGTATCACGCATGGCACATAAATAACTGACCGTTGGGAGCGGTATGAATCCTCTTCATCTTACTATGGGTAAATAGCAGGACAGACGGGGTTCTATAGCCTTCTACCGCAGAAAGAAATGGCAGCCTATTGCGGGAAAAAATCTGCCTCGTCAGTCACGTATCGAAAGATACATGATCGCCTAAGCGTGTATCATGCACGGCACATTACCGACTGACTTATATGCGGAAATATACGAAGAAATTGAAGTTTTCAGCCCGGCTTCCTTTAGGTTACTTGGAAGTAATTTTGTCTAGAGATAGTACCTGCAACTCGGAAATCCACACACGGATTTCCGCAGCTATGGTAGAGATGGCCAAATTGGCAACAATATGGAGGAGCAAAATCAACTTTCAAACTGTAGAAATTGCTGGTAGTCTCCATTCTCCTTTATGCATGTAATAAGTGGACACTGTTGGAAGACACAGAGAGAAAGATCCAAGCGTTTGAGAACAAATGCATGAGAAAACTCCTTGGCATTTTCTATTGGGAACGAAAAAAACAATGCGGAAAAGGGTGAAAGGTTTGTGGGCCACCAGGGACCTCTTCAAATGGCGTGGTTTTTTGACACGTTAAAAAGCACGACAGTGTGTGCAAGACCATCATGCAAGGCACTGTTGAAGGTGGACGCAGGAGAGGATGCCAACGCAAAAAAAAAAGTGGTTAGACAATGTGAAACAATGCACAAGTATGACAATACCAGAATTGCTGATGGCTGCCGTTGATAGACCGTTGTGAAGGACATTCAATATGGCTTCTGTATTCGAATCCACCCGACGATTATAAAAGTCAAGGGGATGATGATGATGATGTGTGGAATGTCAACATATTGCTTATATCTAATTATTTTCTCTTCGAGTTGATATCCATTTCAGCTGTTGAAAGTCTTCAAGTGATGGCGTTTCTGTTATTTGATACAGTTCTTTGTTCTCGATTCTCGATCCAGTCCATGATGTTCGGTTAAAAGATAGTATTCGCCAAGAACCACAGGTTTCACTCGTTCAAAGCCATTTTTAACAATTGACTCAGAGAAAACGGTTATATACAGTTTAGATATTTCTGAACTGGTTTGTCGCCAGGCATGTTGCGACCAAATGAATGGTTACGGAATAACAAAAGTAGTGTTTCAGATAAATAGTATTTTGAACAGAAGAGTTTTACACCACTTGAGAGTTCGGAGTTACATTGTTTCTCCTGAGACTTCATCTCCAACCAGTCTTATACTCAGTGGAAGTGTTCACAATCGACTCATTGGAGGGAAGACGCCACCAGAACGCACAACATTCATACGAAAGTCTCAACCTGAAAAGGATGTTTAAGAACACGACTCGAGTTTTCAGGTTAATGTTTCATTTATGTGGCAACGTGCGGTAGTCCTCAAGTGATGTGGTTTCTGTTATTTGGTACAGTTCTTTATGATTCTGTAGCGCCAGTTCACAATGTTCAAAGAAGGGTGATCTTTGCCAAGACTCCCAGGCTTTACTCGCTCAAAGACTTTTTTCGCCATCATCATCATTATTCAAAGACAGAACTTTAAAAGGTTTTGGCCACAAACTTTAAAGTTTTCTGACTCTTTAGCACCACTTCACAAAGGTTTGTAGAAAAATAATGTTCTACCCCTAGACCCACAGGCTCAAAACTATTTTTAACCATCGATCTTAGAAAGCGTTTCTATGTAGATGACAGTTTAGATATTTCTGAACGCGTTTTGTGCCATGCATGATATCTATGTGAGACACAATCTGACGAGGCTACATGACACGATTTTTCAGGTTGATGTTTTGGTTACGTAGCAATATGCGGTATTGGGCGAAACTATTCATTTTTGCTGTAATATGGTTTCGGTTGTTTTGAAGAATTCTTTGTGATTCTGTAGCGCCAGACCACAATGCTCAAAGAAGCATGACATTTACCAAGATCCTCGAAGCCTTTATTCAACACTAACCTTAAAAAGCGGTTGCATACAGCAGACAATTTAGATATTTCTGAACTAATTTACTCCCATCCATGACATCGATATAAAGGTGCCGATGTGACGAGGCTATTTAAGAAAACATGACATTGATATTAATTTTAATGCTCTTTTGTTTGTTTTTTATCCTGTATGGATCGTGGATTTGGCAAGACGGTAGGTCAGATTTTGGTCTTTTATAAAGGATGTTAGGCTTAGCTTAGTGACGTAGCAAGTGACGTTGTCAGTCCGGCTTCCTTTTGGTAAAAGGGATAAAAATTCGTATTTCACTGAGAGGCCATACTTGCCGATTCTGAGAAGACAATTCACTGTTGTAGATTTACGAGCTGGTTAAATGGTACAATGAAATACACTAAAAATTCAGATAAATATTTGTTAATAATGTATATGTATTCAATAATTCCGTTAGAATTTTCCTTGGAGGATTCACCTTCCCGGAATTGGACTTCTGTTGACTGATTGGTGCTTACGTTTGCGGAAAAGCTGACGTCATCGGGTACTCCATACACATTTTATGAATTCTTTATTATCAGGCTCAGCTTTTCCACTAGAAATGTGCCCCCCCCCCAAAAAAAAAAACTTCCGGATAAAAGAAAAGGTTATTAATTATCAACAGAACTTAGGACTGACATGCGATTTTCAATCATCGATTTTTTTTTCTAATACTTTCATCCGTAAGTGCTAATCCAGTGGTTCCCAACTGATTTGGGGGTCATGCCTCACTTTGGTATTTCTAAAATTCTGGTGCCCCCCTGTAATATTTAATTTTACATATTCAAAATTTTACAGCAATTCACGTGGAGGAAGCTTAAAAGGCCATTAACTTGGTCTCTAAACAAGCCTCCAATGAAAGAGAAAATTTAAAAACAAAAACAAAGAAAAGAGGCAGTTAAATATATATAGATGCCCCTTTATTTTGTTGGTATAGTAAGCCGAAGGGTGTACATCCTACGCATGTCCCACGAAAATATTACAATGGCTCACTGGCGGGGTATGCGCCCCCACTTTGGGAATGATTATGCTAAGGGCTCTGAACTATTTTTCTTCTCTATTAATCCGTTCTTGGTTGAGTCAAAAGATTTTCAGCACCTCCGCGCATATATATATATATATATATATATATATATATATATATGTGTGTGTGTGTGTGTGTGCATATAAATATAAAATATATATATATATATATATATATATATATATATATAATTATTTATATATTATATGCGCGGTACTTATTAGAAAGCGCTCAATATATACGCGCGCGCATGTGTGTGTGTGTGTGGAAAATGATATTGCAACCCCCTTGTGCCACATCTGATCTACACTTAGAAAATTACTATACATATACAGTGATGAAAAAAGATATTACAACACCCTGACAATAACCTACCTCTTCTCCTCCACCTATGGGTTAATTAATAAGACTTGTTTCAATAAATCTTTATTACAAAGTGCAATGGATAAATTGTCGTCTAAATTACGCAAAAATCGAAATAACGCTGACATCTCATTTTAACAGATATATTTAGCAAAGTTACGCAAAAATATCTTAAAATACTAAAGAGTAAATTTATTTAATAAAATTTCCATTGGCTTCAACCACAGCCTCCAGTCGACTTCAGAATTCCTTGCAAACCTTCTGAACTGTCTCCTTGTTTAAGTTAGTGAATGCTGCCATAATCCTTTCCTTCATCTTTGGTGTTACAAAGGGTTTTGATGGTCTCGCACTCAACTGCGCCCCACACATAATCAAAGGGGTTGGGGTCTGTAAAAAAAATATCTTTCGATCCAAAAGGATTTTCTGGCTTTAAATAACCTGCAATTCATTTTGGGAGGATTTTTTATTTTGAGATAATGGCTTTAGGGATAAAAGTCTTACTAATTAATCCATAGCTGGGGGAGAAAAGGTGGAGTCATACTTTTCCCAAGAGTATTTGCGAGTAAGTGAATATAACGAAGCCGACTGGAATTGGACCACGGTAGTCTGATCTCATTCTGAGCTGTTATCCCTTACTCCAACCGCACATCGAAGCTTGCAGCACCACGGCATTGCCAGACGGTCACCAAGCTGTCTAGTGACCGATCTCGACGTTGCTTAACTTCGACGATCGCACGAGGCCCGGTATTTCAACTTACTATGACAGTAAGTGAAAAATAGACATCTATCTCTGAGACACTGTTTCGTTTTAGTGAGAAAAAGAAAGACTCGGGCATAATAACAAAGAAAGAAAGAAAGAAAGGAAGGAAGGAAAAAAGAAAAAAGTAAAAGAAAAGAAAAAAGAAAGAAAAAGTAAAAGGAAAGAAAAAAAGAAAAAAGAAAGAAAAAGAAAGAAAGAAAAAAGAAAGAAAAAGTAAAAGGAATGAAAAAAAAGAAAAAAGAAAGAAAAAGAAAGAAAGAAAAAAGAAAGAAAAAGTAAAAGGAATGAAAAAAGAAAGAAAGAAAAAGAAAGAAAGAAGTTTGAAAGAAAGAAAGAAAGAAAAAAAGAAAGAAAGCAAGGGAAAACTAACACAAAAGAAAGAAAGAAAGAAAGAAAGAAAGAAAGAAAGAAAGAAAGAAAGAAAAAGTAAAAGGAAGGAAAAAAGAAAGAAAGAAAAAAGTAAAAGGTAAAAAAGAAAGAAAGAAAAAAGAAAGAAAGAAAAATTAAAAGGAAAGAAAATTGAAAGAAAGAAAAAAGAAAGAAAGTAAAAGGAAAGAAAAAGAAAGAAAGAAAAAAGAAAGAACATTGAAAGAAAGAAAGAAAGAAAGAAAGAAAGAAAGAAAAAGTAAAAGGAAAGAAAAAGAAAGAAAGAAAAAAGTAAAAGGAAAGAAAAAAGAAAGAAAGAAAAAAGTAAAAGGAAAGAAAAAAGAAAGAGAAAGAAAGAAAGACAAAGTAAAAGGAAAGAAAAAAGAAAAGAAGAAAGAAAAAAAGAAAGCAAGGGAAAACTAACACAAAAGAAAGAAAGAAAGAAAGAAAAAGTAAAAGGAAAGAAAAAGAAAGAAAGAAAAAAGAAAGAAAAAGTAAAAGGAATGAAAAAAGAAAGAAAGAAAAAGAAAGAAAGAAGTTTGAAAGAAAGAAAAAAGAAAGAAAGCAAGGGAAAACTAACACAAAAGAAAGAAAGAAAGAAAGAAAGAAAAAGTAAAAGGAAAGAAAAAAGAAAGAAAGAAAAAAGTAAAAGGAAAGAAAAAGAAAGAAAGAAAAAAGAAAGAATGAAAAAGTAAAAATAAAGAAAATTAAAGAAAGAAAGAAAGAAAAAAAGAAAGAAAGAAAGAAAAATTAAAAGGGAAGAAAAAAGAAAGAAAGAAAAAAGAAATAAGATTGAAAGAAAGAAAGAATGAAATAAAAAAGATAGAAAGAAAAAATAAAGAAAAAGTAAAAGGAAAGAAAAAAGAAAGAAAGAAAGAAAGAAAGAAAAAGTAAAAAGAAAAGACAAGAGAAAGAAAGAAAAAATAGTAGAAGGAAAGAAAAAAGAAAGAAAGAAAGAAAGAAAGAAAAAGTAAAAGGAAAGAAAAAAGAAAGAAAGAAAAAAGAAAGTAGAAAGAAAGAAAGAATGAATGTAAGAAAAAGTAAAAGGAAAGAAAAAAGAAAGAAAGGAAAGAAAAAAGAAAGAAGCTTGAAAGAAAGAAAGCAACGGAAAGCTAACACAAAAGAAAGAAAGAAAGAAAGAAAGAAAGAAAAAAGGAGAGTTGGCCCACTGTGTCGTGCCAGAAAACTTTTTCCCGTCAGAAACCATCTTGCACATTTATAAATCTACCATTCGTCTGTGCATTGAATACTGTTTCCGTTCAACTTTAATCTTTAATTTTAAATGAAATGTCAATCACTATCTACTGTCCTCCTGATTACTCTTCTTTTAATGTTTCTGTTTTCTAATTCTTCTCCACTCAGTAACACCTTGTGTCATAGCGGCTTTACTGCCTTACTTGGGGTGAACGCGATTTAAAAATATATCTGATCTGGTGCTTCTGCTGTACATCTCGAAGTTTTCTTCCTTGGCGTCCCGACTTCATAAATTTGAATGTGCTACTAGATTGTCAATTAGGTCTCACCGTTTTACTGTTGAACTAGCTAGATGCAACCGACACTTCTACTCTAACCTTTTTTCTCTCACTTCCTACCTGTGGAACCTCTTTCTTGCTTCCTTGGTAGCTCAGTCAGTTATGTGCCATGTGTAATACACCTTTAGGCGATCATGTATCTTTCGATACATGACTGACGAAGCAGATTTATTCCCGCAGTAGGTTGCCATTTCTTTCTGCGGTAGTAACTACAATCTTCAAAAATTTCACTTTCACAGGTTAAGCAATGACCGAACGTGTGAGTAGCGATGAAGTCATAAGTAAGATCGAAACAAAAAAAACAGCGAAAAGTAGAGTTGAAATTTTAAAGAGCAAATGAGGAAAGAGGGCTTGGAGAATTTGATACTCACAGTATGTACTGAAGACAAACGGGACAGAGGTAAAGCATGGATAACCAAAATAACGATCTTATATAAATGGTTGGCAGAACAAGGAGTAGGAGTAATGTCCGAAAAAAAAACCCTAGCTAAGAGCTACAATGTACTGGAAGCTGTGGAGAACCATGGACGACCAAGCCCAAGAAAACGAACATAGTTTACTATTGTTATCATTCATTATTATTTTCTTTGATCTGTATTTTATGCTCATTTCCTTCCGGGTCCCAACCAGAGACCTAAGCTCAGAAATGGCATCATGACATTTTTCACTGCATATTTTTTTTTTAAATTAAAAGCAACCAACAAATTGCAGTCTTGTACACATATCTGATATAGATAAATTCTATGCTTGTAAGCACATTTCCTCTGTATTTCCCTAAGACATGTGTTGCCAGGGGAGGGGGTGCATTCGATGTCTAGCAAAATATTGTTCAACCAAACTCAAGGCCCCACCCACAACTGGAATTATTGATGTCATCATGTGCCACATTCTTTAAATTTCTACTTCAAGACCTTTGTATTTTGATAATTTTTTTGAAGATCTTCCAAGCTACATTGCAGTCTGCAGGAGCTGCCAGCTCAATATGAAAGCGTATTCTGTTTTAGTCATCTCTTATCACCATGTCTGGGCGATTAACTTTCATTGCTCTGTCTGTGTGTCCTGTTAAGTCCAATACAATCCTGTATAGTCCTGGATAGCCGGAGTATTAATATCCTATTATAATAGTGTTTGTCCTTTCACTCGTTAGTTTGTACAACCGTTACGGCCTGCCAACACCTCATAATAATAGACTATACTGTTTTGATCGCGTGGAAAAGGGAAAAGACAATACTTGGTTTCAGTGAAAGAAAGAAAGAAAGAAAGAAAGAAAGAAAGAAAGAAAGAAAGAAAGAAAAAAGAAAGAAAGAAAGAAAGAAAGAAAGAAAGAAAGAAGAAAGGCGTGTTCAAAGTTTCCTGCCAATACCTCATAAATAATGGACTATTCCGTTCTGATCACGTGGAAAGAGGGGAAAGAGACTAGTTGGTAAGAAAATGAAAGAAAGAAAGAAAGAATGGAAAGATGAAAGAAAGAAAGAAAGGAAGTCAGAAATACTTAACGTCTGTTTCAGTGAAATGGAAAAATTTGTAAATGTCAATTTTTTTTGTACCCCCTTACTTCTTAAAATATTCATATTTATAATTGTTATTGTAATATTTAACGTTGCGATAGGGGAATTTCTATGGATATTTTATTGTCGGATAACACACGTCATGAGCTTAGTCAATCATTAACTTAAGAATGTAGATTCATCAGAAAATTCACATAGGAAAACTGAAATTTTCCATGGTCTTTCTAGTTATTATTATTATTTTTATTTTCTTTGATTTCTGGCGTTTACACATTTCTTTCCGGGTCCCGCCAAGGGACCTAAGGTTAGAAATGGCGACATGACACTTTCCACTGACAAAAAAAAAAAAAAAAAAAAAATTGACATAGATAAAGCCCTTCGTAAGGTGTGGGCTGTACTTGTCAGAACAATTTTTTGTATCTCCTTGAGGCATGGACTTCCAGGAATCCCTTCAATTAGTCTACTGCAATCTTTTCCAACCAGTCCTAGGGCTCCAACTACAACAGGGATTGTTGATGTTCCCATATGTCACATTTTCGAGATTTCTATTTCAAGGTCCTTGTATTTTGACAACTTTTTGAATATCTTCAAAGATACATTGCAGTCAGCAGGGACTGCCATATCAATAAGGAGGCATCGTTTTTGTTTGTGGTCTTTAATAACAATATCTGGCCGGTTGGCCTTGATTGTTCTGTCAGTGTGTATTGTGTAGTCCCATAGAATTGTAACAGGTCCTATCTCCGTAACCGGGTCTGGATGGTGTTCATACCAGTTTCTTTCAGTTTCCTTCCCGTAGAAGTTGCAGATTTTCCAGTTTTATTTTATTTCTTTAACCCATTACCTGCCATGAGCCTCATTTGGGGATCTGTTAAAATTAAACTCGCTACATGTTATTCCTTGTATTTACATTGAATTGTTTACATACATTACATTTGCAGAGGTATATTTTACAACACTTAGCCTTTTAAGTTTTTATTATTAGCCGTAAGAAGATACTTTCTGTCGTAATTTTACATTTCATGAGTAGAAAAATAATGGCTATTTTGAAAAGTATTTTTTTCATTATTTCTAATCAATATTACTTTTTGATGTTTTATACACATATATATTTGAAGGCCCCTCGACGTGGTGTAATGGTTAGAAAGATTTACTTTCTAGATCATTAGGAGTAGTGAGTTCGATCCTCACTGGGAATCCCATAGTTTCGACCTTGTGCCACATCTAAGCTCCGCTTAGAAAATCACTACACATATATATTTGATCTTCTAGTTTCTATAAAAACGACAATGGTAATTACTGAAATTAAACATAAGAAATAGATAAACCCCTAAGACACCTGTCTGAGCCAAAAATGCGCATTAAAAAAAAATTGGCAGTTAATGGGTTAAGGCATGGGCTACCAGGAATTCCTTCAATGGTTCTATCGGAACTTTATCTAATCAATCCGAAGACTACAACTGGAATTATTGATATCCTAATGTGCCACATTTTTTAGATTCGCACTTCAAGATGCTTGTATTTTGATAGTTTTTTTTTTTTTTTTTTTGAAGATCTTCAAAGATACATTGCAATCTGCTGGACCTGCCATGTGAGTAAGAATGCGAATTCTGTTTTTGTAACTTTTGATCACGATGTCTGAGCGATTAGCTTTTATTGTTCTGGCTGTGTGGGTTGTAAAGTTCCATCAAATTTGTTACAATTCCTATCTCTGTAACCATCAGGGTGATATTCATACCAATTTCTGGCAGTTTCCTTCGCGCAAAAGTTGCATATTTTCCAGTGCAGATGTTGGCCTTCGGGTTTTATATTCAGAGGGTGCTAACACCGTACAACCAAATACAATTGTTTCTGGATATTTATCAGTGAATCTGCATTTCAGGTTAACACAATTTTTCAGCATGGGTACTTGGTAATCAGGGATTGTTGATGTTCCCATATGCCACATTTTCGAGATTTCGATTTCAAGCCCCTTGAATTTTGATAGCTTTTTGAAGATCTTCAAAGATACATTGCAGTCTGCAGGGACTGCCATATCAATAAGGAGGCACTTTTTTTGTTTTCTATCCATAATAACAGTGTATTGGCAGTTAGCTTTGATTGTTTTATTTGTGTGCATTGTGCAGTCCCATAAAATTGTAACAGGTCCTATCTCCGTAACCGGGTCTGGGTGGTGTTCATATCAATTTCTTTCAGTTTCCTTCCCGTAGAAGTTGCAGATTTTCCAGTGCAGATATTGGCCCACACTGTCATGCCGGGTTTTATATTCAGTGGGTGCCAATACTGTGCAACCTGATGCAAGATGATCAATCGTTTTATTATTATTATTATTATTATTATTATTATTATTATTATTATTATTAAGTAAAGACCATAATGCCAACAAAGTGACACGGGTTTACAAATACACGAAGTATGATATACTCATCATGACACCAAATTTGATAAGGGTATACCGAGCACATGCATCACAGCCAAATGTACGCAATATGCAGGTAGAGCTTCATAAAATCAGTGTATGAACATTCAGGGTGAGGGGTCAGACCAAAATGCCTTCAGAATGGATAACCCAGTCGTAAATATCTTAATATGACACCCAAGTCGCCTTAGCTGCCTCATCTTTCAAACTTGACACCCGGCCATGATGCCCCACCACCACTCTCGAGATGCAAAGTGTGTCAACCCCTAAATGGGGAGGGGCAGGCAATTCACAAGGAAATACGATATTTACTGTAGTCCATTTTGACCAAGACAAAAACATGTACCTGTTAACATCTCTAATCAATTAAGATCAGAAGCCATGAGAGCCATGCCTGGTGTAGCATCATGGTGCTACTGAACGGGATATTTACTGTAGCCCATCTTAATTCAACCAAGACAAATCATGTACCTGTTAACATCTCCAATCAATTAAGATCTAAAGCCATGAGAGCCATGCTTGGTGTTGCATCATGGTGTTACTGAACGGGATATTTACTGTAACCATCTTAATTCACCCAGACAAATCATGTACCTGTTAACATCTCCAATCAATTAAGATCTAAAGCCATGAGAGCCATGCCTAGTGTAGCATCATGACGTTACTGAACGGGATATTTACTGTAGCCCATCTTAATTCAACCAAGACGAAACATTATTTTATGCATTTGCAAGTTTCTATAAAATATCTAGTGGTTATCACTTAAGAATTGAAGTTCAGTAAGTTTATTCCAATCACCTGCACTTACTTCAATGTCCAAGATTATTCAAATTCCTTGCAGCTTCCTCGATATACAAATTTATTCAAATCCCCAGCCCTTTCGTCGGTATCCAAGTTTATCCTAATCCAAAGCACCTTCATCAGTATCCAAATTCATTCAAATCACCAGTACCTTCCCCAGTATCCAAGCTTGTTCAAATCACCAGCACCTTCCCCAGTATCCAAGCTTGTTCAAATCACCAGCACCTTCCCAAGTTCTTCTTCGGTATCCTCACAGATCACGATACTTTTCTGGTTTAGAGACTATCAGTCTTTCTTTGAATTTCTAATTCCATTTTAAATGTAGCTTCTTTTTTTTTTTTCACTCTTCCCGGTATACCACTTATTATGGGAACGACTTTTATGCTTCACAGTTTTTTCTACTTACAAGCGAAGTCTTGTATTTTTTTTTTTTTTTTTTTTTTTTTAATTTTGCCTTTCCTTTCGTCTTCCTCGTGTGTTTTTGTTTATGCATTTACATATTTGCCAAACATTATTTTTTCCGGTCGAAAGCTACTCTTTTGTCCAGTTCCCATTGTACCACTGTTCCTACTCTATTACATGTTTGTTTCTATACTCGTTAAATCTCATCACGTGTTTAATGGACGTCAAGTGCCAATGAGCATGTAGCTATGACTGTTCAAGAAGCGATTGCGTCTCTTACACTGGATTCTGGATCCGCTGACCTACGCAAACATGACTAAAGAAAAATCGAAGACAAGCCCTTATCACGCGGAAATTCGTTTAAATAACACGCTCTCTACGATTAACAGGCAACCACAATATTTCATTGATGTTAGAATTCAACAGGATATATGTATGTGCGTATGCGTGTGCGGATGACTATGTTCGTGTGTGCGTATATATATATATGTGTGTGTGTGTGTTTGAATCTTTTGTTTTCTTTCATTCTAGTTTTCCTTCTGCTTTTTTTTCATTTTGCCATATTCATCTTTCTTTCTTGTTAGTTTTTCTTTCTTTTTCTGTAATTTCCTTCTGGCCACGTCTTTTTCATTTTCACTTTTCATTCCGATATTTCTTTCTTTCTTTCTTTCTTTCTTTCTTTCATATTGTTCCTTTTTTCTTTCTTTCTTTTTTCTTTCTATTTGCTAAATCCCTTCTTTTATATTGTCCGTTTTTCTTTCTTTATTTCTTAATTTTCTTTCTTTGTTCTTTAATTTCCTTCTGGCCATGTTTTTCTCATTTTCCCCTTTCATTCCGATACTTTTTTCGTTCTTTCTTTCCTTCTTTCTTTCTTTCTTTCTTTCTTTCTTTCTTTCTTTCAGACATTTCTGTTTATTCCTTTTTTATATACTGTTCTTTCTTTCCTTCTATTCTTGTTTTTTTTTCTGTAATTTCTTTCTATCCATATCTTTTTCCTTTTCACCCTAAAACTCCGATTTTTATTTCTTCTTATTTTTCATTTCGGCATATTCTTTCTTTTATAGCTTTCTTTCTTTCTTTCTTTCTTTCTTTCTTTCTTGTTAATTTTCCTTTGTTTTTTTTATTTCTTTCCACATATCTATCATTTTCCCTTTTCATTTTTCTTTCTTTCTTTCTTTCTTTCTTTCTTTCTTTCTTTCTTTCTTCAATATTTCGACATATTACTTTTTCTACTCCGATCTTTTTTTCTTGCCAGTTTTCCCTTGGTTTTTCTGTAATTTCTTTTTGCCCGCGTTTTTCTCACTTTCCCTTTCTTTCTTTCTTTCTTTCTTTCTTTCTTTCTTTCTTTGTAACTTTGTAGGTATTAATTCAATTTTCTATTAATAGTTATATTTGCTCCACCTTTTGATATCTCTTGCACTGTATTTCACTATCTTGAATCCGTTATCTTGAAGGATCTTAGTCGAGCGAATGTTTGCTTCAAATAAAGTCTTTGTTCTTTCTCCTATATATAATTTATAAAGTTTTAAATCATTTAAAAGTCTGTATAAATGTGTACTGATTAGGTGCTGTTATCATATTTGCTAATAGAAAAGCTTACTACAATTCAGCGACTTCCAGTATTAGAATTTTGAATTCTTTTGTGTGTCGTTTGTTATACGATATTATCAGGAAATAAGATGGGTTGCTATAATAAACCTAACGGTAATGAACCTAAAATTCTATAAATTACTAGATTACTTTCGTAAACGTTTAAGATTACTAAGTATTTGATGAATTATATATAAAAAAAAGACGCTCATGTTATATTCGTAAAGTAATTTTTTCAGCTACGTCCCCCGTAGAAAAAAGTTATTAATTTTCCCAAACATCAGGCTGTCAATACAGATATCAAAACGTAATATTTGCTTCAAACCAGCTTAATTAAAAATTAAATCAGCTAATCTTGCTTAAATAAAGTTTCAGAAAAGTATATTTTATTTTTGAAAGTTATTCTAATAAAGGGAATTGCTTTGTGCTGAAAGAAATTTAAACCTTCATTTAACGATTTAAAATCTCATTCCAATTAATTTAACTTCGTTTTAAAATAAAGCAAAGTATTTTGCTTATTGTAAATATTAAATGACATATATTAGCTTGAAATTAAACTGGATTAAAATTTTCAAGAAAGATTTTTCAATTTTAAAAAACTAATTTCAAGCCGTGTAGGTATCGTTTGTCTTGGGAGGTAGCTATATATATATATATATATATATATATATGTGTGTGTGTGTGTGTGTGTAATAATTCAGATAGAGTGCATCTGTAAAAAGACAATATAAATAAAACAAAAGAAAAACTTATCTTAGTCGACCAATTTTCATCTCTGAGGGACTTTATCAAGGCAAATGATATGCAACTTTTGCTTTGATAAATTCCCTCAGAGGACCCAACGTGTCGGCAAAGATAAGTTTTCCTTTTGTTTTTTTTTATTATATATATATATATATATATATATATATATATATATATATATATTCAGTCAGAACATATAATAATTATCAATGTGTAGTTGTATATTTCCCGTGTAATAATTTTTATGTTTCCTCCCTTAGTCATTTTTTTAATAATCTATACATATAAAACATTTATCTGCATTTAGACAAAATTAGTTCCAGGGCAAAACGAACCGTTTAATTAATCAGTTCTTTTATGCCTTCGCGTCTTAGATTGCTGTCTTATTTGTTCAAGCCTTTCATGTGAAGCACTCAGATATTTTTATCTTTTAAGCGATCGTCTTACCTCTATTTGAAATAGGCTTCGCCATCCTAGTCGTTATGCTATCCCCCGAGAGATATTTATTTTAAACACATAAAACTTTTAACGTGAAAAGATATTGAGTAAGAAGTGATTTACATAATATCAGCAGTAATAAATCATAGATACCATTCAACGTCTAAAAGGTATAAAGGGTACGAATTAATTAAATTGTTTATTGGTGTCTATTTTAGTTGTTAATTCTTTATCGCCTTTTTATTGAATCTCAATACATTGTTTCAAGACTTTTGCTTCATTTTTGAGAGCACGAGCACATTATTATTATTTAATAACGTAGCGTTAAGAGACAAAGTTGTCATTTGTCCATTGGGTTGTTTAAAAAGAAGGGACTTATGATACAGGAAGTCGAGAAGAAAGAAAGAAAGAAAGAAAGAAAGAAAGAAAGAAAGAAAGAAAGAAAAGACCTTCGTGGGGAGAAAGAAAGAAAGAAAGAAAGAAAGAACGGACCTTCGGGAGAAAGAAAGAAAGAAAGAAAGGACCTTCGTGGGAGAAAGAAAGAAAGAAAGAAAGAAAGAAAGAAAGAAAGAAAGAAAGAAAGAAAGAAAGAAAGGACCTTCGTGGGAGAAAGAAAGAAAGAAAGAAAGAAAGAAAGAAAGAAAGAAAGGACCTTCGTGGGAGAAAGAAAGAAAGAAAGAAAGAAAGAAAGAAAGGACCTTCGTGGGAGAAAGAAAGAAAGAAAAAAACAAACAAACAAATGGAAACCTTTAGTAAATTTGAGTAATTACTTTCCTTAATCGTTTTAATAATCTATACAAATAAAATATTTATCTGCATTTAGACAAAATTGCTTCCCGAGCAAAATGAACCATTTAATTAATCAACATCTTTACTCCTACGTTTCTTAGATTATAGTCTTATTTGTTCAAGACTTTCACGTGAGGCACTCTGATAACTTTGTCTCTTAAGCTATCATTTTCTTTTAGCTTGATCCTGAAATAGGTTTTGGGAACGGATTGATTAAACAGTTCATTTGCCTCTATTTTAGTTGTGAATTCCTTATCTCCGTTTTATTAAATCTGAGTACATTGCTTTAAGATTTTTGTTTCATTATATCTCACTATTAAACCTTTCTAACAATTGGTGTCATTTTTGACGACACTAGTAATATAATAATTCTTAGTGATAATATGGTACTTGTGAATTATTTGTCGCCATTTTTTATCATTATATCCGAGCTCCAGGAGGCTGGTTTACAACAATTCAAGGTTAATCATAAATACAATTTCGTTGCTGCAGATGCCGGAATACACACTCCGAATAGCGTGCACCTTTTTTGTAATATTTAATTTTTAGTCGTTTTAATAATCTGTACAAAGAAATTATTCATCTACATTTAATCAAAATTAGTTACCCGGGCAAAACGAACCGTTTAATTAATCTGTTCCTTTACTTCTACGATTCTTAGATTGCAAACTTATTTGTTCAAGCCTTTCACGTGAGGCACTCAGATACCTCTCTCTGTTAAGTGATCGTCTTGATTCAACTTGGTGCTGAGAGAGGTTTTGGGATCGTCGTATTTATCGTTCTTTTGTTAATCTTTTTCTTCCGAGGGATATTTCCATTTCATTGTTATATTAAACACACAATTTTTAACATGAAAAGGTACCGATAAAAAAGCGATTTTCATAATACCAGCCGTAATCAGTGAATCATAGATGTCATTGTACGTCTGGAAGTTATAAAGGGGATGGATTAATTAAACGGTTAATTGGCCTCTATTTGAATTATGAATTCTTTATCGCCTCTTTATTGAATCTAAATCCATTGTTTCAAGTCTTTTGTCTCATTGCGTATCACTATTAAAACTGTCCAACAATTGGCGTCATTTTTGACAGCACAGGTACACCATTAACATAATAAAAGTTCAATTGACTTATCTTTCGAACGACTTCAAAATATCGTAGATATACCGCTCGTCAGAGTCAAGTCAGGTAAATTTATTATGCACACACAGAGAGAGAGAGAGAGAGAGAAACACACATACATACACACACGACACACAAATATATATTTATATACAGAGAGAGGGAATAACTTGATTTCATATATTTTAGAGACAAGGGTGGATCAATAAGTTTATAGCCTGACACCTTCATCTTTGAATCTCATAAATGTAGAAAGACTACAACTGAGGACTACAGCGGCTGAAGCGCTGTCGTTATGACAACGCAAACAAGGTTTATGTTACCCGTACGATCACCGAAGTTAAGCAACGTTACTCCTGGTCACCACCTAGATGGGTGACCGCTTGGAAATGCCGGGTGCTGTAAAACTTTGACGTGCTCGTGGTGTAATGGATAGCGGTTCTGAATTGTTAACCTGAGAGCCTATTTCCAGTTGCGTTCGTTATATTCACTTAACGTGAAAATACACTTGGGAAAGGTATGAATATACCTCTTCTACCCCAGATATGGGTTAATTAGTAAAACTTGTATCGCAAAAAACATTATTATCTAAAAAGAAATGGGAAAAGAAATCTTACAATCTAAAAGTATTGTTTGGTTATTTAAAACCGCAAAGGGTTGATAAACCGTAAAAAAAACGAATCAATCAATCAATAAATCAATCAATTAAAACAAAGGATCAATAGATAACATCTGTTCATACTAAAAAGAAATAGAAAAAAGTTTAACTTAATGCTGTAATATGATTATTCCTAAGCCACCAATGTAAGGATTTGAATATTTTATTTCTGCGACAGACGTTTGTTAAGTGCGAACTTTAGAATCGAAATTATATGTTTCGATTCAGATAAGTTCAGAGAATCAAGCTAATGAATCAGGACAACGAATAAACTCATCGAATCATTCATTCCTGGTTAAATTTATCGACAAAACGACATCAGAAAATCGATAATTATATCGAAAAAAATTGATACTAGAATATGGATAATAACCTAAAAAGATTAGCTAATGTAATGGGTCTACATAAAGATGTGTTTGTCCGCGCGGGTAGATATTTATCATCGAAGACGTTCATTACATAGACACATAAACTCTGTTTCTTGCTGATGCATTCGATCGATTTTAATTCATATGATTATTTTTAGGTATGAGGTTATTTTTTTGTTTTGTTTTTTTTTTACGTGGGGTTGTCATTTAATAAGCTACCGCCATTGACTTGTAGACATTTTAGACAAGATTTATTCTGTCATCATGATATTTCTTCAACAGAATATCAATGTCAGTCAATGTCAACTGCTACTTACTGTCTTTCTGAATACTCTTCTATTCTTTCCACTTCATTTTTGTGCCATGTCCTTTCAAGACGTAGGCGATCATGGCTCTCAACCTCCCTCTATCCCTTGCAGCTCTCAACAAGTTCCTTCCCTCTGCTTCCTCCCCCAGACCACATTCTGACATCCACCTGCTTAAGCTTGCCAAGTATGTCACGTGTTGTTTTCCTTTGTCTCACTTTCCCTCTATTCGACCTGTGAGTATCAGATTCTCCAGGCCCTCCTTCCTCATTATGTGTCCTTTTTCCTTGCCATGTCCTTTCAGGACGTAGGCGATTATAGTCCTCCACCTCCCCTATACCTTGCAGCTCTCAACAAGTTCCTCCCCTCTGCTTCCTCCCCAAGACCACATTCTGACATCCACCTGCTTAAGCTTGCCAAGTATGTCACGTGTTGTTTTCCCTTGTCTCTCTTTCCCTCTATTCGACCTGTGAGAATCAGATTCTCCAGGCCCTCCTTCCTCATTATGTGTCCTTTTTCCTTTTTATGTGCCATGTCCTTTCAGGACGTAGGCGATCATAGTTCTCCACCTCCCTCTATCCCTTGCAGCTCTTAACAAGTTCCTTCCCTATGCTTTCTGCCCCAGACCACATTTTGTCATCCACTTGCATAAGCCCGCCAGGTATGTCAGGTGTTGTTTTCCCTTGCCTCTCGTTCACTCTATTCGACCCGTGAGTATCAGATTTTCCAGGCCCTCCTTCATCATTATGTGTCCCAGAAACTCCAGCTGCCTCTTTCTGATATTAAGTATAAGCCTCCTGCTTGTTTGCATCCTCTCTAAGACCTCATCGTTGCTCACATGTTTGGTCCATGATATCCTTAGCATCCTTCTGTAGAACCACATCTCCGTCACCTCGAGTCTCTTCTTCATCTTTGAGGAAATCGTCCAACATTCGCTGCCTCTTCCTGTTGTTAAGTATAAGCCTCCTCCTTGTTTGCATCCTCTCTAAGACCTCATCGTTGCTCACACGCTCGGTCCATGATATCCTTAGCATCCTTCTGTAGAACCACATCTCCGTCGCCTCGAGTCTCTTCTTCATCTTTGAGGAAATCGTCCAACATTCGCTGCCTCTTCCTGTTGTTAAGTATAAGCCTCCTCCTTGTTTGCATCCTCTCTAAGACCTCACCGTTGCTCACACGCTTGGTCCATGATATCCTTAGCATCCTTCTGTAGAACCACATCTCCGTCACCTCGAGTCTCTTCTTCATCTTTGAGGAAATCGCTGCCATAAAGGACAGATGTCACGTAACAGTTCAGGATTCTTTTCTTTGTTACCAAAGAAATCCTACTGTCTCGCAATACTCTTCCCATCTTTTGCAATATGTCCTTGGCCATCCCAATACGGATCTCGGTGTCACACTTACCTTTCTCTGTCAAGATGCTTCCCAGATATTTAATTTTCCGAGTCTACTTGATTCTAGTGTTCCTGACCTGCAAATCGCTTTTCGGACTAATCCTATGACTGATGACCATGCATTCTGTCTTCTTGTAGTTTATGCTAAGTCTCTTCTTCTCACTCTCCATCTCTACCTTCTGTAGGAGGTTTTGTAATTTCTTTTCCGTGTCTGCTATCAGCACTGTGTCATCTGCGTATTTTATGTTGTTAAGATTGTGGCCGCCAATACTAAATCCCGGTAGGGGTTTCCTATTCTCTCAGGATTGCCTCGCTGTATAGGTTGAACAGGTCGGGGGAGACCTATTCATCCTTAATAATGTTCGAGAACGTTCTTCCCCAATCAATAACCGTTTGCGTTTAAGTGTCTTTAGTACCTTGCATGGGGTGATATGATTTAAAAAAAGAAAAAAGAAAAAAAAAAGAGATATATCATCATCATCATCATCTTCCTACTTCGGGTCCGAAGAAGACTTTTGTTGTAATCCATCGTCGGATCTGGATGAATGTTCGAAACAGACTTGCTCGATGTGGGTGGGGCATTATGGCGGGAGCGGGGATCGGTGAACTGGTTCCAATGCTGGTCTCTCGGTCTTGGAGAGTCTTTGACCCCCCCCGGTGATGCAAGGTATCGTTACAACCGGAGACTTCCAGGCTGCAATAGATGACCGGGCCGCATATGTGTCACGCCCGTGACCTGATGCACTCCCCAGTATATGCTGACACCGCCTTCATGGCCAGTGGATCTGTAAGAGATCCCATCCATCCACTCAGCCGGGCGCCGGTCTTCCCATACAATAGGGTTGACAGACTCGAAGGTTTGGACCCATTCGAATACTCTCACTTCATTTGTCTATCGATTTATAAGTTTTTTGAAGATATATATATATATATATATATATATATATATATATATATATATATATATATAGATAGATAGATAGATAGATAGATAGATAACTATACTCGTTTTGAAAACCCTCGAATTTTTAATTTGCCAATAATCAAATCAATCTCGAGGGAAAAAAAGGTTTTAAAAAAAGAAAGAGCTACAAACATGAAAGTCTGTCGAAAAAATTCGCACAGATACAGGTTTGAACCCCCCACCACCAAAAAAACCCTACAAGAGAAAACAACTAACTAACAAAAGAGCTCAATACAACCGTAGAGCAGACCAACGACCTAGGCCGGCTTTCTCTGACGATCCGCTTAGGTGAAACCTGGGTAGGTTTGTCTGGCTCACTAGGTTTATATATATATATATATATATATGTGTGTGTGTGTGTGTGTGTGTGTGTGTGTGTGTGTGTGTGTGTGTGTGTGTGTGTGTTTGTGTGTGTGTGTGTGTGTGTGTGTGTGTGTGTGTGTAACAATTTCGGATATCTGGAAAAGGACAATATGAATAAAAACAAAAGGAAAATACATTGCATCCCATTTGACTTGATAAATCCCCCCAGAGGACGAAACGCCTCGACTAAGATAGCTTTCTCTCCCTCTCCATATATATATATATATATATATATATATATATATATATATATATATATATATATATATATATATATATATATATATATATATATATATATATATATATATATAGAGAGAGAGAGAGAGAGAGAGAGAGGGTGAGAAAGGGGAGAGAGGAGGAGACAGAAAAGAGAGAGTGGGGAAAGAGAGAATTAATACAAATAAAATACTTTCTTGGGCCCAGAGTGTAGACCAGGGTTCCACGGAACCCTACCGTACCGCTAGTAAAGCCCCGGGGGTTCCGCAAGAAGTTACACAAGTACTATGATTGACAGTAATTTTTAATTCTTCTGTGCAGATATGTGTGTTTAGGTACCTCTACTAAGTCAATATCAAAACAGCATAGTATGAATAAAAAAAAGGTCCCATACTGAATAAAACAAACGTTTTCCATCAAAATGTTTATATTTTTATTAAGAGGAAAGATCATAGTAATCTGATGAGTATTTTTATTTTATTTTAATAATTGAAAGCTTTTTTTTTTTTGCATAAGACAATTTATTGCAGGGGTTCTTCGAGCCACTGAAATGTTTCCTTGTTGTTCCGCTCCAGCAAAATGGCTGAAAACCACTGGTGTAGAAACAGTTTAAATGTTTTATAATTCCAAGCGCTTTTGGCTATAATTTCAGCCATTATCAAGGATGATTTTATTTTTTCAATTTAATTGGTCGTCTGCGTTGTGTGTATGTTTTTAGCGTTATAGAGATGTTTTAGTTTCCGAACACAGCACATTGTGGTCGTGTTCATAGTTAATATTATTAAGTGTTGGCTTTTTCTTTTTTATTATTAAGGCTCCCATTTACCTGTAAAAAAAGATATGAAAAAAAAGTTTAAAAATAATGGAGGCCTGAGGACAAATAGCTAGGGTTCTATGGCTTTGGGCGGTAACTGGTCTCGGAAGACAAAACCTGGTCCTCCAGATTAACAACTTACTCACTTAAAAATCTGGTAGCCCTATGTTAGGTTATATATATATATATATATATATATATATATATATATATATATATATATATATATATATATATATATATATATAACTAGACTCGTTTTTGAAAACCCTCGAATTTTTGATTTGCTAATCAAATCAATCTCGAGGAAAAAAGTTTTAAAAAAAAGAAAGAGCTACAAACATGGACTTCTGCCGACAAAAAAATCGCACAGATGCAGGTCTGAAGCCCAAAGAAAAAAACCCGATACGAGTAACAACTAACAAAAGAGCTCAATACAACTTTGTTGTACAATTTTGTTTAATAAATATTTCCCCCCCCCCACACTTAGGTTGTTTTTGTTTTTTTGTTTTTTTATTTTGTCACGTGGTATGATTTTAGCTATCACCTATAAATATGTGTTTCTCTTTGCCTCGTTAGCCAAACTTTCCCTGACGATCCGTTTAGGTGAAACCTAGGTAGGTTTGTCTGGCTCACTAGGTGTATCTATCTATATATATATATATATATATATATATATATATATAACAGAAACCATATCACTTGAGGATTATCAAGAGTGGCAACATGTAACTCGGAGAGAAGATAATGACATAATCAAAATGTTAAGATTCTACACCCCCTCAAAGACAATTTAGGAAGTACAACCCCGCCATCTATACTGAAAAGAGCGATAACAGCGACTTAACTTGAGAAAACATGTTCATGAACATGGCCACAATATGCTGACTCTCTTCAGGAAATAAAACATTTTTATTGTTATAATTAAAATATATATATTAAGACAAAAATGAAAAAATCCTTGATAAAAGTTAAAATAAAACTCAAGAGATTATTATAAATAAATTTATCCACGAATAATTTATTGAAACAAAATGAAATAATAAATAATAAATAATAATTACATTTAAAAAAATACGTATATAGATATATAAATAAATAAAAATTCAGTAATAAAAAATCATTTACTCATTTTCGTTTATTAGGCAATAAATTATATCATTAGTGTCATCCATAGTTTACCTTTCTTTAAATAGTCAATTTTAAGAATATTTTACGGCGTTCTTAAATTTAAAATTTAAAAAATTGGTAGCAACAGTATTTATCCTCCACATTACCCGGTAAAATAAAATCTTCATCTTTTCCTTGATATAGTCCATTAGGGATACCCTATATATATATATATATATATATATATATATATTCGAACCTGCATCCTATATATATATATACTTAAAAGAAAGAGGTTATAGTGGTTCCAACGAGAGAAAAGTGTGTATATTAAAAAGAAGAGAGGTACCGCAAATGCTTTTGGTTGTAATGTGGATTTTTTTTTAAATATTATGCTTTATTTTCCATAATTTTACTACACGGGTTTCTGGTCTCGCGACCGTCTTCAGGCAAAGGGTGGAGATTTCCACATATTAAAAATAATTCATTTTTTTCCTTTATGTTTTTCGATGTTAAATATTCTCGACATGAGACATTCTCTGTTTTTGTGTTAGTAATCCGAATGTCTTTCTTGAATATATATATATATATATATATATATATATATAAATCTACGATAGTCTAGATATATTGGATAAATATATACATTCAGTTTTATATCGTAACGCTTAGTAAATATCTACATTGATGTTATCAACTGTTTTATCATATACAATTAAGTGTGCCTTTATCGGTCACGCAACCTGATCTCCCCTATTTGTAATATGTCGTGTCATGTATGCAGTAAAATGATATTTCGAATCCATTGTCCTTTTGTTTACTGAAAAGTAAACAAAAAATGTATTATCACAATTTTATGCCATTTATTCACCAAAGTGAAGCTTTTCTTCCTGTCATCAGCATGGCTGATGATAACTTCCAGGAGAGTAACCTATTGAACTGTCTTGGGATTGGGATTTCCACTGCCATGAGATGGAGTGATTATATTGAATCGATTCCTGGGCCTAATGCTAGGAACGTTGGTACCCTGTGTCGAGGCAGACAATCGCATTCGTCCAAGTGATTTCTCTTTTGGACTTTTAGAGTGTATAAGAACTGTCCAAAGGATTTCTGGATACCTGCGATTTCGGCTAGTCTATTAAGCATAATTAGCTTTTACAAAAATCACAATTAGAAAAAGGCTTCATCTATGAAACTTAGGAATTGAGGGGATGAATATAATATCAATTATCTAAGTGATACTTTTTATTTATATTCATCTTAGATAGATAGATAGATAGATAGATAGATAGATAGATAGATAGTGAAGACATTGGCATATATAGATAGATAGATAGATAGATAGATAGATAGATAGATAATGAAGACATTGGCATAGATAGATAGATAGATAGATAGATAGATAGATAGATAGATAGATAGATAGATATTGGCATAGATAAATAGATTGAGAGATTATGAAGACATTGCCATAGATAGATAGATAGATAGATAGATAGATAGATAGATAGATAGATAGATCATTTGTATAATAGTATAAATACTACAAAATTGTATACACTTTCTGCTTTAAATTGACTTCATCGAAGTTATTGATTACTAGTTTTAACCCGTGAGAATTTCCCGGTTTTCCTACTTAAATTTTCTGATGAATCTTAATTCTTAACCCTTTGAACCCGGCGTTCCTGAACAATTTTAACCCTTCCGTCTGAGCTCCTGAGTCAAACCTCGCAAATAATTGCTATGTAATGTTTCACGATCGATATAAAAATAGTTACAAGTGTTTATCCAATTTTTTCCCTACCACTGTCCATCCGGTGGCTGAGCATAATGTCATTTTTCTCTACCACCGGTAAAGCGGTGGTCAGGGCTTAAAAAGTAAAGTTAGTGATTGAATAAATTTTACGACAATAATGTCTGCGACTTCTAACGACAATACAATATCCGTATAAATTCCCCTATCGCATCGTTAAATATTTGAGCTTGACAACTTTAACAAAATATTGCAATAACAATCATCCGATTATAATTGTTCTTGTACCACCCTTCTCGGCCTTTTGGCTTGGATGGCTTATCATCTCTCAGTTGCGACTCTCTCTTTGGCAGAGTGCGCTCAGGGGCTTCTCTGTCAAAGGATACAGGGGCAACTGAGAAAATTATACTGAAGAGGTGCCCAACCCTGGGGAACAGCTGCCCGAGGCCGCGCCCTCCCATTGCACCAGAGGGAGGGATCAGTGCTCGCATCGAGACCAGCGCAACCAACGGTTGCGGGGGCTGTGGGCAATTTTTGTTCCTTGCCCGGGTGTACGCGCCCGGATCCCCACTTAAAAACAAA